ATAATATATATATATATTATTATATATATATATATATAAATGAATACACACACGCACATCTATACTATACTATCTATCTATATATACGTATATATCATACATATCTATTATATGTGTGTTCTTATATAGTACGCACGTGCTGTTGTAACGTTATTTTTAGCATAAATATATTCCAGAAATGTCCTGAGGTTAGTTGTTCTGGGTCAAAAAGCGACTAACTGTAATTTTTTACGGCCTCGAAACCCCGGGTCGTTGCCGCCTGCTCCCCCCCTCCCTGTCGGTGGTCCATAATATATATATATATACTATATATATATATATATATATAATATTATATATATATATATTATATATAATATGTATATATATATAGTATATAATATATACAACATACATATAGTATGATCACACAACTATATAAACAAAACAAGATAACATAAGATAAATATTTATATAACAAGAGATGCGGAATATTTATATATTCGTGAATAGGTTTTTTTTTTTTTTTTTTTTTTTTATTTTTTTTTTTTTTTTTTTTACATGATCGTGTGCTACATTATGTTCAACACGAAATCCTGATATAGCATATGACTGATAATAAAGTAAGAATTAGGATGAATATATTTGAATTATGATGCACATATGTACAAGCTTAATAATTACTTTTTTACTCCGCAAAGAATGACATGAAAGTCCGAGTCCATGAGATATTTTTCCAGGCGGGTAGAAGTAAGTAATTAGCACTTTGCTGTGAAAAAAAATACAAAAAAGTATAACTCACGATTGTTAATAAATAATGATTTGTGATTTAACTATTGTGATAACGATTAATGATTGATACTAAGTCTTCATAATGATTGTTTTTTTATTTCATTAAATCTTTGACATAGCTATGAATCATGATGAAAATAACTTTCATAACGATAACTATTTATCACAACTATTAGATTATTATCTTCATAGTACCAAGCGAATGAATAATGATAATAATGATGATAGTATTACCAGAGGAACATTCCTTACTATATATCTCTGAATAATGTTCCCATTATTAAAAGTAGAAATCTAGGTAATAGATAAAAGATAAATAATAATAATAATAAAAAAAATTCACTGCACTTCTTGATAAGGAGCGGTTATTGCAAAA